CATCGCGGCCGCGGCTGCCGCTTGAATAGTCAGTAACAATTTAAAAACTAAATAGTACAAGACAACTGGATCTATTTTCATATCCGTTAGTTCAAAAGTTTATTAATTACATCTAATATGTTAAGTCGAACGAAAAGTGAAATAATTTAAAAATATCATTCGTTTCTTTTTGGGCACATTTATATATAAGCTGTTGCCCGCAACACCGTCCGCGCGGTATTAAAAAAAATAGTAGCCTATGTGTACATCCATGCCAAATTTAATCGTGATCCGTTCATCCGTTCTGGAGATTCCTTCGAACAAGCATCCAACCATCTATCCATCTAAACATTCGCATTTATAATATTAATAAGAGTAAGATTCATCTTCTATGTGTAATGAATTAACATGACGAATATATGTAGTTGAGATAGTTCTGCTAAACTTTTAAATATTGTTGGCTTTTATACAAATGTAAAAATCACAATATTTTATTATGCCTTCCTAAGTCTCGTATGTAATTTTAATACTAACTTACTTGTGCATCCAACATTTGTATCGTCGTATAACGTCCAATAATAATGATTAATTCGATGTAAACAGCACAAGTAGCTAATTTACAAGTTAATTGTGAATAATCGTTGTACAATTCCGTCATCGGTCGACGTACGAACAAAAATACCGGGCCGTTATCATTATCAGTCTAATTATAGCGGAGTAAGGACCTCGGCTGCTCGAGTCAAGGGTACGTTCACTCGAGCCCAAGTTCAAAGGTCACGAAGGTCACGGCTGAAACATTCGCCACTGAAATTGTATGAAGTTCGCGTATTATTCGCCAGTCTGTTGTACCGAGGTGACCTTGAACCCGAACACGATCGATTCGGTATATAGTCTTATGTAATGACCGATGGATCATTCTAGATATTTTTATAAAGAAGCATGCAAGCAATATTTCATCAACTTTGTTTAATTTTAAGATCTAGCAGCGCTTTAATTTCCATACAGCATATTACGCTGTCTACAACCTTTCAGTGTAAAATTTTCAAAAATCTATTCTTAATACTTCTAAGAGGAGACTTTATGTTAAATTTCGCGATTCCCTGCTTTGCTTACTTAGTTTCGGTTATGCATTGATGGCCACAAAAGCAAGATCTCCCAAGAATTTACCTAAAACCAATGATAAATTATACAACAAAGATGAATACACTATGTGGCAAAAATCTAACATTAATCAATCACAAAAAAACTTGAATTTTTTAGGAACATAGTTCATTGACAGCGCGGCAAAGTTAGATGGTTGTAAAAATACTTGTACAAAGCTTAAGATAATTTGATGTTCAAGTGATTCATGAATCATTGTCAGTGACATTAACCTTGAATTAAAATCACTTGTCATGTAATTGATATGTTCTAACAAAATGTATGACGCAATCTCAGACATGTTAGCTGCTACAGATTTGAATCGTAAATCAACGCATATCCTTTAGTGGATGGCTGTTACTGATGATAGCTGAAGGAATCAGCATAAATGTTTTTGTATGATGAAGATCACGTGACGCTTTCAGAGCGGCCGGCGGCTAATGATTATGTATTTCACTAGATGGTTACGTTACAATGGTTTTCCGGTTCCCCGCTGTGACGTGGCGATTGTTTGCATGAATGCCCTTCCGCCTGTGAACGGCAGCGAGTGCGAGGCGAGTGTGCGGTGCGCGCAGGATCGCGTTACAGCTGAAACTCGCGCCGCCGAAAACTCAGGTCGACGACCCAGCCCGCGCGGCCATGTAGCGCGACCGAACTGTCTTGGTACTATGTCTAACGCGACGAGTTCAAGGTTTTTTGTGATGTTGCCATTAAATTTATATCTGCAACAGATTATTGTTTTCTTAAGTTGCGATTTTGTGTTCATGAAGTTTAAATTTACCAAAAAATTACCGTATTATTATTAAATAGAACTAATGATAATTACTTATCACGAAATTATTTTCTTTTGTTCAGATAAATACAAATTATGTCCTGTTTGATTTAAACATTTAAATCAATTTTAGAAACAAATGGCGTGAACACTTAATGTAACTTAAAAATATATCACAAACATAAAATTCGCTTACAGCAAAATTTTCACTTCTCATTACCGGCAGATTTTAGAATGAAAAGATCAAATAACTTCAAAATAATTTTATTCTCGGATTTTAGTATTATAATATATAACTTTACACAATATCAAGACGATTTTTAAATAGAATCAAAAAATAATACAAGTCATGGCATCAAAACAAGTCGCGACGACGTTATCTTTGCGAGTATCAAGTGCGTGATATCGCCGTATGACGCGCGGTGATATATTTGGTGACATTGAACCGGGTCCATTGCCAACGACCTCGCTCCTCGGGGAAGTGGCGGTTTGCGTAATCGCTCCTGCGTACGGACACGACCCCTTACGCACACTAACGCACGCACAGGGTTGCTAGACCTTTCATATGTACCTTTGTGTACATTCTTTAGGGTTATAATTGAAAAGCGAAATAGAGGAAAACTTTTTTTTACTGTAATTAATTCTTTTATTTTAGCCTATCGGAGTACATTTTAATGTTTACATTATGGTTTTGATTAAAATAATGTCCAGTCATGCTCTGTGCTTGTAGACCATCACACTTGGGGTCCATTAATTTAGGGAATAGAAAAAGACTACCTTCTGGATCTAATAAGAATAAAAAAATGGAAAAAGCATAATTCGAATATTATTGTTTAAATTTTAATCTAAACATAAGTAAGTTACCTTTTAAATGATTTGACGATGAAAAGATATTTATCATTTTTTTTGAAGTAGAGTGCATAGACATTTAGAAAATAAACAATATTCGAAATTTTAATATACTATGCGATTTTTTCTTTCCAATTTCAATACAATAAACAATGTAAATGCATTAAAATAAAATGAATGTATTAAACATATATTTAAAACGTGTTTAGAAAACAGTATTTTAGTATAAAATTACATCCCGTAAAAAGCGCAATCATGCTCAATAGGTCTGTATGGTTAACTATATATATTCGAATATTTTCTTGTTTTATTTCAAATACCAGTACACTAGTAATTAATTTCGAATTATAAGAAATCTGAGCGATTATTGTATTTCAATAATTATTTTTTTAATTAGTAGCAGCAGTGTTATAGTTTCTTAGCGATTGTACATCAAAAGTATTTTCTTTGTAACTGGCCATGCACAAATACTATTCAAAGACATATTAGATTTTTCTTTTTAAAACGATCGCCGGTGAAGAAGCAATTAATTTGGGCCCCTTTGGCTGTACGTGGGGAGTGCCGCACGCTCTTTTCATTTTAAGTAGTTACAAAACAAATGAACTATCTGCCAAGTTTACCGGATCTTTGCCAGTTCTTAAATTTTGGGTAATCATTCTTTAATTACGAAAATGCCTTAGCAATTCTTAAAAAAAATTGCATGTTTTCACTACATTAAAGATAGTAGTTAAATTAGTATGTAATAATTTATAGTCAATGAAATTAATAGAAACTTGAATGAAATACTTACTGGGTATATTTGTTGGTGACAGTTTACGAGTGTTTTGGTACAAGACTAACCTAACAAAAATTTAAGTCCTGTTGTGCTATAACTAAGTTGTTATGATACTTATTTTATGCAAATTATTTAGGGACGAGTTAAAATAGGAAAATAACTATGTATTTCCGAACGAAAACACAACTAAGGGAACGTACCCATACTACCGGTGACCACGTACATGCCAACGGGTCACGTAGTATGGGTACGTTCCCTAAATTAGCTGACTGGTATGTAACTTAATATTTTTTAAGACTTATTATTATTTTTACTGTGAGATAATGTTATGTACTCATAAGTCAATGTACAGAACAAGTGATATTCGAACGTTACAAACAAATTTTATCAAAATCGGAGCGAATGAACTCTTTTGGCAGGAAATTGAAATTGCAACGTAATTCTAATCGTGTGAGTGTAATAACCTTCATTTACAGATAATATTAACAATTCCATGTAATTATAATATAGACATATTAATTATATTACTTTCTTATACTTTTGGTGTTCATTACTCGCAAGAAGGAAAAAAAATGTATTTAATTAATTGATTTTATATATCTTTAATAAAATATCTACTACACGTTTTTTTTCAGAAGTTTCATTAAATGAAATTTAGTTTTTTATTTTATTCATTAGAATAATTTTACACTTATGTAGTCCTTTTTAACGTCGTTGTATTTTTACATAATTGTTTGAAGAAAGTCAAGGCTTAGACGTCGGTTAGCAGAGGGCACGATGACAACGGCGAGCAGCCGGGCAGTCGCCTAGAACACGAACCGCGAGCCGCGAGCCACGACCACTTTCACTGTCGCCACCACTGTCCACGGTCACCGTCACCGCACGGACCGTTACCACTTGTCCACTAATAGCTCTACTGTTTCTGTCTAAGCATACCTGCGTTGTCTTTGTTTTTAAACTACCCGCGCTTGTTTTCGATCGCCCTTTTACCTAATGTCTTTTTTTTCTCTGGATCTTCTATAATTTATTTTAAAAAGTGCATATCTAAAATTTACAAAAAGGCAGGCATGTTGATACATAAATACTAAAAAATCTTATTAGCGTTTAATGGACAACAAAAATCAATTGATTTTGCATACAATGTCCAAGTACAACTACGAAAAGGTCAAAGACATGCACAGTGACGCTGCGCAATTCGAAAAGACATCGAAGAGTGGTGCAATTAAGAACTTATAGAACCTGTTGAAAGAGTGAGTCACGGAAGGAGTTAGCACGTGTGCGGTTACGTTGCGTGTGGAAAGCGGCAGGTCGCGAGGGTCCGCGCGAGTCCCGGCGGAAGGGTCCCGGAGGAGCGCGGCACCCGCGACTCCCGGCGCACCCGGCGGCACCCGGCGGGGTGGCGCGGCACTGTGCCGGTCAGTCACCGCTTCGCCGGCGCGCCGTGCGCTCGCTGCTGTGTGTCTCGTCGCTCTCATTGTCCCGATTGCCGAGTGCCGACACCTTCCATGTTTATCTGGCGCCCGGTACGCGCAGCACGCATGGCTCGTATCCCGTATGAACCTGTGATGTGACAACTACGTGCTCCTGTGCTGCATGGATTGTTTCAGTGCATCGTGAACGTTTATGTGCATTTCAGTGGATAGTGGCCTAAAAGCGAGGATTTTCATTGCAAAGGATACTATCGCTGACGCTGCAGGAGGCGTTTACTCTTTCAGAAGCACAGGTCGAGATGTAATTAATGATATATGTTTCCTTACACGCGCCACATGAATGTCGATACACGTTTGATCCCTAAAAAGATACAAAGTTTATTTTTAGATATATTAAACGAACTGCGTAGATTTTCTTAAAATATACACGAGAATAAGTCCTTCAACATATTACGTATCAAATACGTTTCGCCATTTGAAGCCTAATACAATTCACAAAAGCGTAAACAAAAGTTGTTCAGAATTTGTGAAGGATATTTCTTATGCCTTCTGGTATTTATTATTGTTTTACAAAACTTTATTTTTATGGCTTTTGTCGTTTGCTAGACAAAAACAGTATAAAAATATACAAAATTATGCAACAATTATTGAGTGACTAATATTAATGATCCATTCTAATTTATTAAACTAGAATTTTTGATTTAAGGAAACACAAAAATTAATCAACTTTTCATTAAAATGACGGTAACATCGTCAAAATTTTTCCTATACTAATACATACTATACAATACATAAAGAATAAACATATAGTTAAAAACAAAAGGATGTTGTACTTTTTCATATTAGATTCGTTTATTTTCCTAAATTTAAACAATTCCTAATGACGAATGCAAATGAAAGTGCTCTGTGGGGAATTCCCAATTCGTATAAAACGCTTCTTTTAGTTGTCATTGTACGAAAAGAACATTCATTTCCACAGCAGGCTTTTTTTTAGTTTTAATATAGTCGCATGTTTTGATCAACATATGTAGAAAACTGTTCCTTTAAATAAAATTCATCAAACGCCTACTTAATGTGCTTATAATGGACTTTGCCAATTGAAGTTTTTCCAGAAATACTAATTGTTCCGGAAACGCATGCACAAGTGGAAATATTTTCATATTCACGTCTCATTTACATATCAATTGGTTTTAATAACCATGATATCCAAAGTATATCCTTATCTTGAGGTCTTTGATATAAAATTAATTTATGTTAATAATTGCATTTTTTTTATTTTATTCGCATTGGAATTCGGTGTAAAACAAAAGACTCACCTGAAAATAAGTGAACATTGTAACATCAAATTGTTATGTAAACTCAAAACTTATGTGACTTTTGCGAATTATGTGAGCGTTAAGATATGTGAAATTTGATATGTTTCTTATCAATGAGAGAAGGAAAAGCTTACATCTAAATATACGTTGTTAAATTATACTAAAGTTAAAAAATACGTATTTAAACTTATACTACATATAAACGAATTTATTATGGTTGAATTTCATATAACCAACAGTAAATAATAGTGATTAGGAATTTAAGCTTTTATGAGTGGGTTGTTCGTTTTGCAACTTAATCAAATTTTTTGCAATTTTCTTTTCATATTTACTCTTAGTAAGTAGTCGTAGCGTCCTGAGGGAACGATATTGATCGCCAGAGTTCGTTTACAGTTTGTCGTAGCGAAATTGTACTATGATTTTTAATCTACAGTTTTTATCCATTTGTATAATATTTAAGACTATTTCGTATAGATATAACTCTTTATACACCTTTATATACCTACATATCTAAAAGCAATATTTTTGTATTAAATATATGCGTGTTTCGCGAAAAAAATATTAACATAGTTTATTTTTTAATTATTTATTATTTTAAAAGAAAAGACTTTAAGCACATACACAAAATTAATCGATTTTCAAATTTGAAATGTTACTAATACTTAAATGATGAACACATTTTGTAGTTTATGTTAGAGGTATTTAAATAACCTGTATATTTATTTGTTTACAGATACCTTACCGCCTTTCCTTGGCTCGTACACTCTCGTTGAGATGAAGGAGAAAGGCTGAACGGATATAAGTGTAGCCAGCAAATAAAAATGTAAGTATTATAGACATTAACTTGACGTAGTGCAAGAAGATAAATTTAGTAAATATGTTGTACAATAAGTAAAAAAAAACATCTTTATATATAATTCTTCTGTGAGTGTGTATGTCACTGAACTTCTCTCAAACGACTGGACCGATTTTTTGATTTTGATGAAATTTTTTTTGTGTGTTCAAGGGAATCTGGGAATGGTTTAGATTCACAATTTTCATCAAATATTAACTTCATATTAATTTATTCAAATTAAAGACGTGTAGACAGGACAACGTCTGTCGGGTCCGCTAGTAGAGATATAAACTTAAGAAATGTGCATTCTTCGCGTTCACTGTGTTTTCTTTATGAGAGACTGTTATTAAGGTTAAGTTTGAATCGTAACAATAATTACGGGTACAGTGCAGGTCCCCTGCGGTTGTTATTGTTTGATCAAAATGCCAAAACCAACCAAATTATTTATTTATATGAAGAGGCAGAGTTTCATTAAGAGGTGCTAAGAAAGTTTTCTAACGCGCACGCAAGAGACTGTACTTTTTATCGGTTCAATTATTTCCCATTTTAACTTAGTTGATGACAGTATTGACTTGGTCGGCGAACACGAGTTTGCACTGCGCCACCGGCCGTTACCCCGGAACAGAACGAACAACTTAAAAATAAGCCGTATCTCGATGATGACCTCTTGCGCAGTTATACGCCTTCCAGAAACTTCTTAATGCGCGTTGTATGTTTACATTTGGGTATATAAAATTAAATATTTTGCAGAATAATTAGCTTCGTCAAAATTAATACCATACACTGCAGGCGCGACACGGAAAACACCAGGTAGAGACGATGCCATGTTTTTTTAAAAGTTATTCATGAATTTATATTAACGAGACATTGAATAATAATGATCAAAAATCTTTGAGCATGAGTAATAATTTGCTTTTCTTAATTACATCAATCAGGATAACTAACATCTTTATTTTTCTTTATTTATTTATTTATTTATTATGAATAACATATTAAGAACATTATCAGTTGTAAGTTTTTAAAATAACGATCTTATACAATGTCTCAAACGTGTCATTAAATTATCATCAGTTGATTAGCCTCGACTCTAAGCCCTATAATTTGTTAAAGCACTGAAAATATTTAGTACTGGTTTATGAATCGTCACATATATTATAACTTAAGACTATGATAAAAAAAAATGTTCCGATGACCTAGAAGTGCCCGTAAATTTAGGCGCGCCAAAATTCAAAGAAAATAGCAGATACTTACTGATTTTTCGAAAGTAAGGATCTTTAATTCTTTATGATTGATATATAAAAGAACTATTCACACAATTTGCTAACCCTGAAGAGCAAAGACAATTGTACATTTTTAAAACAGCATAATTTTGAAGTCCAGTCTGTTATACCTACAATTTACATACTACATGCGTAAAAGTGAAATGCAAGTAGCTCGTAATTGCGTGTTCTCGTTTTAGATATTAGTCGAGCCTATGAACATGCTCTAAACAATACGATTCCGCGAAACGCATTTGGCTCCTGACACAGCGGCCACGCAACTTTGTTTCTATTTGCGACAGTTTTAAGAATTATAATCGTGTACTATAATACGTATTGCGGTACAGGGCCGCATCGGGTACAAGGGAATTGGGAAAAGGAGTTTACACAACGTTTACAGACACGTGAAGGGAATAAATCAACAAGTATTTATGTGCGAATTAGTTTTGTAACTTTGTAAACAAGTTACTATAACTAGTAGCTTTAATAGGACAACAGAATACAGAAAGGGAAACAGCCCTTTCGATTTAGAAAAGGTACTGTCTTGACTAGACGAAACGTAAACGTAGAGACGTACCCTCAAGACGTATAGCGGTTAACGATCCATGATAACGTAACCAATATAAAATTATGATATGGATTTGTTTTTACTCTGCATGCTTAAGTACCGTATAAAACTCGTTTGATAAAAAGGGTCAAGCGCTTTTTGTAACTCGAATTCCTAGTCCGGCCCTGATGCGGTGTATTGTTGCGGGAATAATGCACTCGAGGCAGTAGTTTACGAGGTCTTTCACCCACATAATATAGGTCAGTTAGATTAGCAACGCTTCCCCGATGCTAACGCTTCGGGCTTACGCGCTACCAACAGTTTTTCAATAGATTACGTAATAATATATGCAAGCCATCCTTATCGACATGTTTTTAGACTAAAAGATAAGAGATGCCTTTGTGTTAAACGATATACTGTTTATTCTATTACAAAACAACGAAAATGTTACATGAAAATTGAATGCGACAAAACGAATTGTTGTCAAACTTTAATTTAGTGTTGACTCTAGGATAGGGTATTTTACACAATTGTGTCTTAATTGTAGAAAAATATATGTATATTGAACTTATATTGTTTGTTGGACTGTACATTAACTATCTTTAAATTAAGCTAAGGTTTAATTTGCACTATTATCCAATATCATGAAGTATTTAACAAACAAGTTATGTCTTGTACTGATAAAAATGCAAACCTACGCAGCGATTTCTTAGTCGTACAGTGAAAGTAATTAAACGACTATTATATTATTTATAGGTTGTTTACTAACCGAAATAAGTAATAATCGGTAGAGTTTACTTATTGACTGCCAGTTTGACACCGACTTTAGGAAATATGAAGAAAACGACTTTAAATTACTTATTTACCAAAGAGTTTTAATTACACCTTACTAATATTAAAAAGGCGGAAGTTTAGATGGATACATGGATTGGGTTAAGGGATCTTGATGCAATCTGACATAATAATATATATAATAAAGTCTAGAATAACACATAAGATGTAAATTAAGTTTTCTTTAATTATGCACAAACGCAGTTACGGGCGACAGCTTGTAGATACATAATTCTGAGTGCCGATTTTAAGTAAACATTATTTGTAAAACTAATTTAAATCTAGTCTAAATCTGTTTTACTCAAATCATAATACTATTAGCATAAATTTATCTTAATACAAAATTTAGTTATTTTAATAATTTAATTTTGCGGGTAACATTAACATTGGTAAAATCCAAAATGTTATCTTTTGGACGAATGGGTTGGTTCGACCGGTACAACTCGACCACACCGAAGATAGGGGTGAAGTGAAAGCAATTTCACGTTTCTGCTGATAAGTGTGCGTTCCGAAGGCCTAATAGTCTTCTTCCATTATTTGTAGAAAGAAGAAGGGGATGTGAATTTGGCAGAAAAGGGGACGCATAGGAAGGGAAAATATCCTCTTTCTGTGCAAATCTGGATAGACAATGCTTCTGCAAATATATAGGTAGAGGTCTGTGGGCAATGGTCATTTCACTATTTTGGCAAATTCAATGTTGTCCCTTGTTCCTGTTCACCTTTAGTTAAAAAAAAATTATTAGGGTACAACCATAACCTATAAATTGAGAAAGAGAAAAATGTTTCATATTTCCGTTCCTATGGGTTTCGCGACCTACATAGTTGTGGAAACAGTATGGCGACTCCTTATCGTTTTACTTGGCGTTTAATTTATGATTCCCGTGTCCTACATCTGGAACAATAGTTTTCCAACATTTATTGTACTTTACCACCTACAATAAGTCTATTATAAAATTTTATTAAAGGGTCTTGCCCATACAACAAATATTTCATACGTAAAATTTCTTAACTTCATGAAATGTTATTTTAATTTTCCTCACATGTTATTAATGTTTATAAAATACACATATGTATACCAAACACATATCAATTTATTCGTATATAGTGAGTTTGAAAATTTACAAGATCGAAGACAAAGTCGCTTGAAGTACGTTCATCTATATATTTTATTTCATCTTATCTGAAATTAATAAAATTATTTTTTTAATAATTTCTAATTAATATTTAATGTAAAATTATTGTTTATTTACTTGTATATAACTTGTTGATAATATTTTTTAACCGCTAATATATTCTGGAATATTCTGTTCAGTGTCCAGACTGGGCTTGTCCCAGTTCCGGGGGTCGCCGGCCGATCGTGAACTCTACACTCACCATTTTCTCACTTCTCAATGTATTACATTTGGAAAGGAGATCCGTTAAATCTGCCCATTATATGTTTCCGTACGTAAAAACTGAAAAATATTTTATCACGCCCTTTTTTCTAAGCACTGAGTATTGTTTTAATTTTTAAAATTGATCATCAAAGTAATACTATTTTGTTCAAAAAAGCATAAGCAAATGTCGATGCAACAAGGAAAAGAACAATCGACGGAATATTTTCTAGACATGATACTTAACTCTATAAGGCAAAATTAGTATGTGTTGAGTTCAGTAAGCATAAATCAAAGCATAACCATGCCGTAATTACTCATAATTGACAAATATAGCTCATTTCCCGTAACGTGTCCGCAGCGAAGGAAATCATCAGTCGGACGCTCGCGCGGATTTACGGCGCGGAGTCAACGCCCCGCTCTGGTATATAGGTCAAACGAAGGCGCCCGCTAGTCTATATCGCGCCAGGCTCGACCGCGCAAATTCACCGACGATTTCACACAAAACCCTTCAGATATCTCTCGTAACAGAAATGTAACAATTAAAATTATAATTTTGCGAAGGGGTTCGTAGTGAAAAATCCGGTTTTGATGCAATGAATTATTCATGAACCTGTAAAGATAGGGTTGAAATACTCGTAATTGTATGCAAAATTAGAGACTTTGTGTTTTTGAAACTTTTGAATTTCAATATTGAAAGGGGTTATTTTTCAGTTTTTAAATTTTTAATGTAAAATTAAAGTTTTTTAATTATGATCAAAGCTCGGAAAAAGTATCGTAATTTAAGTGCTATGCAGCTGCCACGCATCACGAAGCAGTCCGCACTTAACCTCATTTATTGGTAAACTGCATTATAGTGCTACGGAGTTCAGGAGAGCGTTTGTAGTTGTAGCGGTGTAGAGGGCGGGAGGTCATGTTGTGTAGTCGGGTTATAGTGATGCATAGTGACGGCTGCTGCGCACGGGCAAAAGGGAAAGTG